TTGTCATGGTAACAGAGGGATGGCTTTTAAAAGCGTTCTTGAATTTCTGAGCTTCGTCCCTAGTTATTAAGGTATTTTAAATATCAGGATTATTGGTGTGGTAAACAAGTATTTATGCCTGCTGAGAAGCGCTGTTCTGTAATTAACTGCCAGTTCTCAGTGCCATGTTCCTGCTGAGGATTTGACACTCGTAAACATGTTATCACACAAAAGTGTTCAAGATAAGTCTTTAGCCTAACATCAAAGGCCTGTGGGGGTTTTTTTGTTTAGTTTTTTTTGGTCTGGCAGTTCTGCCAACATGTATGGATAATAACAATGAAATGGAATTTTTTTATTTATTTTAGTTTTATCTCATTTGGGAATCGTATCTAGCAACCATTGTAATTGTTTCCTTATGTTCTCCCTCTGGGCATGAAATGGTTGGAAGCCGTGGTTTTGGAAACTCAATGAGCCTGTCCAACTCCTGTTTCAGCCCTGCCTCTGGGGCTTGTTTTGCCCATAAATTAGTGATTAACTCAAAGTGCTCCAAAACAATGAGGTCCCTGCTCTAATCTGGGGGAAATGGCTTCAAGTGTGACCACGGGAAAAAGATTAGCCCGTTTTAAAGTGGCAGAAAGCGTCGAGTGGGATTGCGTGTGGGTGGAAAAAGGTTATGAAAGACCCATACGTATGTATCCATCGACATAACACTGTATGATTAAAAATGGTTTATCCCTCCAGATTATTTTTATGCTAATATTAATGAAATCTCTGTCCTGAAGCTACACACACACACACACACACACACACACACACGCACACGCACAATCAGGCGTAGTGGTGATTGAGCGTTTATGATTGCCCCTCACCCTGAGCTCTTTCTTTCCAAGCACGTCCCCTGCGTGGAAGCAGGAAATCAGGATTAGTTGTTTCCTGTGAAAGTGTGCCAGTTTCAATGGGTGCCATAACAGCACCCATTGAAACTGGCGTGTTAAATGTGCCGAACCCCTTTCAACCAAAAGAAAACGCCAAATCCCGACCGGAGGAGCCACTAAATGTATCATCATGGTTTTTAGCAGCACCGCACATCACAGTCCAGCGTGCCTCACATAAACAAGCTCGATTCAATCAGTCCCGTCTAAAAAGCAAGCGGTGGAAATGCTAAAAGGTCGAAGCTTGTTTAAGCACTGCGTGATGGCTTTGGTCAAGACTGCTTGCAGAAAAGTGGCTGATGGTATTTTCTGAGCTGCTTCTACTTCTGCTGCTGCTCGCTGTCAGGGCTGAGGAGAGAAACAGCGTGCTGTCTGCAGGTTCAGGGTGATTAAGTGCTTAAGGTCAGACTGCTAATTATCTCTCTGCCATGTCTTACCTCACAGCACATAGCTGCCATTTCCTTGTTGTCATGCGAACAGCCTTGTATTTGTTTTCACTTCACTTCTGTCTTTATTTTATACCACTGTGCCTTTTCACAGTAAAGCAATGTACACTTTGGAGAAAAAAGGTAAAAAGATGGTTTTAAAAATCTGGTTTCAAATTAAATAGACAAGCGATCCCCCCCCCCCCAGCCTCATTTTGAATCCTCTTTTGCTCATAATCCTTCACAGCTGAGCAGTGGTTGTCACCCTCACTGAGCGCCCACTTCAAGGGAAAACTGTTTTCTTCTCAGATGCTTCTGGTTCATATCCTTTTCAGTGCTATCTGATCTCTTCCTATCTTAAAAGCCTTGTGACCTATGAGATTGACGTCTTGAGAAATTAACCCCACCCCTCCGCACTGGATCCACTCAAATAAGCTGTGAACGACAATGTACGCTTTACTTTCAAGCTGTTTATCGACATGATCTGGACTCGTGGCATTATCTGTTGGAGTTTTAGAGCGTCAGACGCCCTTTAACCTGTGAAAAGTGCATGTAGCTGTCCACTGAACTCACAGCAAGAGAGCGGTCATTATGTGTGTCACTCTCACTTAATCCAAGCTGAGAATTTCCAGTACTGAGCCTGTCTGAAGGAGACTGTCCCCTGCTGTGTGCTAAATGTGATAAAGGGCAGTGGCACACAGTGTACCGACTTGACCCTAGCGACACTCAGAGTTCATGTGGGAAAATGGCTCCAGTCTTCCTACAGTACACGCCTGTATAATATTGCTTATAGCGTAAAAACTGACAATGAATGTGCTAAAAATATAAGCCTGCATTAATACAAACTTACTGTAAGATCAGCGTGCATGATCCCATAATTGCAGCAGGGAAAGATTAGAGTAGATGAACTCATTGTTGGGTTAAAAGTGTGCAGCAGTTTTATCTCGCGCATTCTTATCTGCAGAATGAAAATAATGAGGTTTTCCTGCCTCGTATGCTCATGTGCTGCAGTTGAAATGCTCTGAATACAATCCCTGTGGCTTAACACTGGATGCAAATGAATCGGAATTAAAAGCTGGCTTCGTTTTTATTGTATTTTATTTACTTTTTGTTTGCTTGTTTTCAAACTAAAGGAGGAAAGGAGCACGTACTGCGAGGTACACAGTCTGCTTTGCCTTGTAACTTTTCACAGTAAAGTTCAAACCTAATCTCGGAGTGTGCAAATGACCTTTTCCTATCTGCGGATCGCAGTGGAGGCAGCGCTTTCTGCAGGCCGACGGTTTTCACTCTAATAATATGCATATGTTGAGTATTTGGATAAGGTGGCAGCCGGCACAGTAGGCTATTGTCTAATTGGCAACTGGAGAGAAAACGTCAGCTTTCACACTGCAACTGATGAACTGCACTTTTTAATTTGGTTGGGGTGTGCTCGCAGGAAAGCTTATGTGTTTTGCGAGGAAAGAGTTACTGCGTTACTTTCATTACAGCTAACACACGCTTTGGGGGAAGCCAACCCGCGTGGCGCTCACTTCACTGCCATCAAACGCTGCCGACTGGAGGTAAAGCCTTCAAGATTGAAACAAGTACCTGTGGTTGCAATTTCGAGCAAATGTAATGCCGCTCATGCTGTTTTTGATCACACTTGTAACTTCACATTATCCAGCGGTTGGGGTTTTTTTTGTTTCGTTTTTTGACGTCTAAACTGATCCTTTTTTATGCCTGTGTCACACAGTAGTGGTCCTCAGATGATAAATATGTGAATGCAGAGTGCCTATTTGCAAATGAGGCTTTCCATAGTGGCAACATTAAGGCAGCCGCAGTGGGAAGTGCAGCTGTGTTGTGTCTCCATAGCTCTGACAGGGCTGTAATCTCTGGACTAACAATATCAGACACCCCGTGAAGACGTGTTAGCGTTCAGAGTGTTTGAAGTGTTTGTGGAACAGCAAGCCAATCACAGCATGCTGGGGCTTAGCACTGACATTTTACTCAACCAGAAACGGCTAAAATGTCTGTCTTTGATTTGTTTTGCTAAATCATCCATCTTTGCTTAACTGAGCGCCGTTATCAAAGGCGGGGAACAAAAAAAAGAGGGGGGGGGGGGATTTTTGTGCTGTGGTGATGCAAGCGGTTATTACGCTTTTAAATGTGTCATCGCATCTAATCATCTAAAGCTCCTTTCAGGTGGACGTGATCCTCTTCTTCTTATGCTTTGTAGTCATGAATATTTATCTTATTTTTTTTATACATTTGCCAGAAATTGTTATTGCAGCTGCTTTTTCCTCGATACCCCCC